TCATGTGGAAGAGTTCAAATTTATTTTACCTGGCTCCAGATGGCAGAATTGCGATAAATGGATAGATGTCCTAGTAAGGGAATATTTGGCATGATGCGGTGGAAATTTCGTAAGTAGAGTAATACAAAAGTACAATAGTCTGTTTGGTGAGGTGGTAAAATGTCCCTCTTTTTGAAAGTCTTTGAGAAAATATTGGATGGCCACTTGCCAGAGATGTGGTAGAAGAAATTCCTGCTCATGTGTGTGATCACCTTATATGATCTCTGAAGTTCTTACTCAGATTCTGTGATTCTATATAATTGGAAATGTTCAGCCTCAGAGTTGGAGCCAAGGTGGTCCAGCGCGCTACCCCTCTACAGACACAAACCTGCCCCTCATCCAAAGAGCACACCAGACCAAATCTTGACAGTGAAATCCAAGAAAAGTGACAGTGAATTATTTTTTTCTTGTCCAGGTCAGTGAAGGGAGATAGAAAGACCTGTGGACACTGAAGATGGGGTCTAGCCAGGAATATGGGGCCACAGAGCACTCCAACACCTAGGGAGAGTCAAAAAAGGGTCCCATATCCATGGAATGATGAGAATAGGGACCATATGGCAACTTTGTCAACCATTACCCAGTTTCAGATCACAGATCCAGGCCTGACTGAAGAGGAGTCCTATATCCTGGAGTGGCCTTCTGGGATAGGGAGCACTGCAGTCCGTAGGCAAGTGAAGTAGCAGTGTTTCTCTGACCCTAGAAGCAAAGCAGGCAGTCAGTTTCAGCTTCTAGCCCAATGAGAAGCCTTCAGGAGAATAACCAGGACAGGAATCCTTGTAGTTCAGTCACTCTAAACCAGCAGAGCTTTCTAGCTGGTTGGCAGGGGCTAAGTCTAGTGGCATCTTCTATTGCTCAGACCCCAACCCAAGTCAGGAACTTGCAGGGCAGAAATCAGATTTTGGCACTGAACCAGACCTTTTTGAGAGCACTAAAATCTTACAGGTTCCTAGGTCGAGCTGTCCCTAAGATCCTGAATAGCACATTTGGTGTGTGTAGGCCAGTCTTAACATCAAGTTCAAAGTCAAGAAGTAGACTGGAAAAATGAGCAAACAAAAATCCCACCATGAAGAGCTATCTTGAATGACACTCAAAACGCAAATCCAGAAGAAAATAACTAAAACATCTACAAGCAAAGCCTCAAAGTAAAACACAGCTTGAGCACAATTTCAACTAGAATTCCTGAAAGAGAATAAGTAAAGAGGGATTTTTTAAAAAGAGCTTAAAATATTTTGATAAATGAAGTAAGAGTGCTTGAGGAGAAAAAAAATGGATAAGAAATGAAAGTTTATAAAAGAATGAATTGGAAAGGAAATAAAAAACTTGGCATAAGACTTACAAAACTTTGCCCAAAGAAGGAACTCCTTGAAAATTAGAATTTACCAAATAGAAACCAATGCCTCTGTGAGACAATAAGAACCTTTAAAACAAAGTCAAAAGACTTAAAAAGAAAATATGTTTCATAGCAAAAACAACTGACCTGGAAAACAAATAGAAAACAAAAAAATTTAAGAATCATCACATCACCTGAAAACCATGAACAAAAAAAATCCTAGATATCATATTTTAAGAATCTTTAAAGAAAACTGCCCTGATCTCTTTGAACTAAAGGGCAGGGTAGAAATAGAAGGAATATACTTATCACTTCCTTAAAAGAAACTCTGAATGAAAACTCTGAGGAACATTATAGCCAAAATCAGGGCTTCGAAAGGAAAAATACTGCGAGCAGCCTGAAAGAATTCCAAGTAACAAAGAACCACAGTCAGGATCATATATAATCTAACAGCCAACACTGCAAAGGAGTAGAGATCTTAGAATATAGATTGGATATTCCAGAAGGCAAAGGATACAGGCTTACAACCAAGAATAACTTACCCAGCAAAACTGAGTACAATCCTGCTGGAGCAAAATTGGACCTGAATGAAAAAGAGGATTTCTGAGCATTCCTGCTGAAAAGACCAGAACTGAGTAGACATACATACAAATACAGGAGTCGAGAGAAGCATTAAAAAAAGTAAACATGAGCAAGCAGTCATGAGGGATTAACCAAAGTTAAATTTTTTAATATCTTATATGGGGAGATAATACACATTTCCACTCAGAACTATGTTACCATCAGGGGTCATAGAAAGAAAATCTATTTAGATGCGGCTGAGGAATTAGTGAACCCAAGTTCAAATCCCATCTCCAAAACTTGTTAACTGTATAATCATATAAAATAAAATGCTGTTTAAAATGTTTAAATAAAATATCAATAATAGCTGACATTTATCTGGTGCTTTCAGGTTTGCAAAACACTTTACATAATACAACACAGTTGGGTAGGTAGTAGTAATACAGGAATTATTATTCTCATTTTACAGGTGAGGAAACTAAGGCTTAGGGAGGTTAAGTAACTTGTCCTATAACCACTGGGAGCATGGGAGTTGGAATTTGACTTCTTTACTTCAACTTCAATAATCCATCCACTTATGCAATGCCATTTCCAATAAGAACGTAGTTGGTACACAATGTATATTTTCTTTGTTTCTCTAGTGCTTAGCACAGTGACTGGCAGATGGCAAGTAATTAATAGATGCTTGTTGACTTGGCTTATTAGTCCATTAACAGAAAGAGATAAATCTGAACAAATAAGTCCTGTGATCTTGCTTTCCATTAAATCAATTAAATATGCTCAAGACCTACTACTTCACTTTATTTTTTCCTACTTTCACCTCAGCCACATCTACTTTTTTATTTATTTTATTTAGCCCCCTTTTTCGCTTGTGTCATTACTGATTCTAAATCTTCTCCCAAGCTATGCTTCATGCCTGTGAGGCCCTCAAAAACTCATCCCCATTAGTCAAGATACTCCTGAAATTCCATCCATTCCAGGATACATTGCAGTTAGGACAGTGCCTTCACATAGCAAGCTCAAATGTTTGTTGAGTTATATTGCACTGATAAATTGAAAAAGTGATAGTCATTTCCCTTGTTAAGTAGTTATAGTTGCTCTTCTTCATTCAGCAAACTTGCCCTTTTGCTTTTATTTCATGTAAATAAAATATGTTGGCTACATTTCTGTATATGAAGTGTATAAACTTCATATCCATCCTTTTTCCCCTCTTAGCTCCTGATTTATGACATCCTCCCCAGTCTGCTCATTTTCTTTTGCACAGAGCATGCCTATTCTTAACTTATTTTCATGCTACTCCTTCTTGCAATGCCTTTCTTGGTCCCCTTATCTAAACCTTGCTTAATAGCAATAGATAGCATTGTAAGGTTTTTCAAAGTGCTTTACATTGTCTCACCTCTTCACAACCACCCAGGAAGGTAGGTATTATAGTTATTTCCAGTTTTATAGATGAGAAAACTGAGGCTGACCAGAAGTTAGCTGACTTGCCCAGGGTCTCACACAGCTAGTAAGTGTCTGAGAACAGGTTTGAGCTCAGGTCTGATAAACAGGTAAAGTGCTCTGTGCACTATTGTGCCACCTACCTGCACCTTCTCTTTCAAGGTCCAGCTCAAGTCTAAACTTCATAAAAATTTTCCTACCTATTCCAGCTCACACTGATCTCTACCATAGTGAAAAGAGTACTGATTGTAGAATCAGAAGACGTAGATTTGGTGGTGTCTCTGCCATCTACTAGTGACCTTGGGCAAATAGGTGTACTTTTCTGGGCCTCCATTTTCTTACCTGTAAAATGAGAGCATAGGACTAGATCAGAGGTGTCAAACTTGGAGTGCACCCCAACCAGATTAAAATATAATTGGAAATATTTAACAAAATAAAAATACAATACAACATAGGTGATGTTAATTTGTGGTTTTCTAAGTCAATATGAGGTCTACTTGGGATTATTTCTATTTGAATTTGACCCTACTGTATTAGTTGACCTTTAAGGTCCCTTCCAATTCTGTATCTGAGATCTTGTGAGTCTATATTTTCCTGCTTTTATAATCTGGCCTCTTCCTTTTTTCATGTGTGTTATTTCTGTCTCTTTAGTTAATTATAAGTTCTTTCAGGGCAGAAAGCATGTCTTATACTTATTCTCAGTGCTCCAGAGTTCCTGGATACATAATTGGTATCCAGTATGTATTTGTTGGTATACTTACTATATGACTTAAAATCTGTGGTTCATACTTATTTGTTTTTAAGTTTTCAATTTTTAGAGCAATGTGTTTGTTTTGCTTTTGTTTATGTAGCATCTCACATAACATCACATATGAAGGCTATTTCTGAGGATAGTCATAAGCCTAGAAAGGATCATTCATTGCTAGCTCTGTGCTACCTGTAATTATTCCAATTAGCTGGGAATTTATACTAAATTCAGATTTAAAATGAAGCCCCAGTAGCATTTTGAAGGAAGATGTCAAGAAGTAATAAATATTTTTTAATTAAAGGAAAAATATGTGCTTAAATGAAAACATGAGAATAATTAAATGGATTTTTTAACTTATTTTTTAAGATTCTGTAGGTGAGCATACCTACACCTGTCTTCAGTTTAGACCCTACACATTTACTAGAAAAGTAATCATATGGAATCAGGGCTATTCTGGCTATTAAACTACCATCATATTTAAGCCAAAAGGAAAGTTGTTTTTATTAACTAAATTATTGTAGCTTTTAAAATATCATTATAGAGTTTTGATGCATATTTTAAGTAGGTAGATTTTGAAACACAAACATAAAACAATAACCTTTTAACCCTCTGGTGATAAAGTATTTTCCCAAATGTGCAGCAGAATTTGTAACCTCTCAAACTTTTCCCCCATTGTCATTGTGCCCTTATAATTTAAACATATGTCTAGTTTCTAATTACATAAGAAAATATTAACATGCAGCTAACAGAAACCTGAAGAATACACAAAAACATTTTAAAAGCTTACCATATGAAGAAGTGATATAATTTTGTCTCAAAGCTAGATGATTTGAACTTTCGTTTTCTTAATATAATCTTTTTTTTTTTGCTTTGTTTCTTTAGTTTGTTTTCTTTGCTATCTAAAAAGCACAACAAAGTTCTGGAACAAGCCACACAGTCCCTAAGAGGTTCCCTGAGTTCTGATGATGTTCCTCTGCCAGATTATGTAAGTATTTACCTTACTGTGTTAAATTATTTTCATTTAAACATCAAACTAACAAATGGCAACATCTCCTTTCCTCTAAAAAAATGTTTGAAATTGTGATGACCCAGCAACCACCAATAGCCAAATAAAGGAACTTCTAAGGAGTGATATCATGTCTGAAACTGGAGGAAAAAAAGTGAAAAATGCATGTACAAGTGGGGGGGGACCCAACACCACCCAACAACCCTAAACCAACAACGCTTCATAACTAGAAACCTTCTGGGGCTTCATTCAGTAACTTCATAGTTTTCAAATGACATTGTTAGAAAAATATGTGACTTTCATAGGTTTCACAGGGTTATGAGCTTAGAGAATGTTTTCTGTCCAACCCCTTCATTTGAAAGTTGACAGTACTGAGGCTTTGGTGTGTTACTAGGTAGCACATAGTGATGTATTTATTAGTTGGATTATCATATGACCTTAATATCTCTGGCTCATATTTCTTTGCTTCTAAGTTATCAGTTTCTGGAGCAATATGTCTGTTTTGCTTTTTTTTTTAATATAGCATCTAGCTTAGCATTACATATAAAGGCTTTTTATGAGGATAGTGAAAGGCCTAAAAAGGATCATTCATTGCCAGCTCTGTGCCACCTGTAATTATTGCAACCCATCTATTAAACATACTCTTTTTTATATCATGCCACAGAAATTAAAACATACAGCAGGCCAAAATTCATGTTTCCAGTGTACCTTTGAACCTTTTTTGTCATTGTTATTGTTTTTATAGATTTTTAAGATAAGAAAAATCAAAATAACAAGTGGCTTATCCGTGTTTTTAGATTGGATCATAGCATAGAATCTAAGTTTTCTGACTTGCTGAGCATTATGCTAGGTGTCTCACCTTCCTTCCCTATATCTCTTTTAGCATACAGGCATCAGAATTGATCTTGACCATGCACAAATCATTGTCCAAATGACTTATTTGGTAACAGAAATATTGGTGACCTGAATAGCATAGTATCTTATCTATAGTTTATTCAACCAGTTTTTTCTTCAGTTCACTAAAGGAGGCCATAGTACACTGACAGAATATTCAAATTTAGACCAAATTCTTGACATGTTAATAGTTTATAATTTAAACCAAAAAGTTAAGCCACTTACCATTATAAATTCGAAAACCAGTACCTATAAAATCATCTCAAAAATCATATGCAGATTAATAGAAAGCATTAATCACCACAAAGTAGAAACATTACCTAGAGAGAGAAAGGATTTTCTTTACTGCTTTAATTGTATGGTCCTCATTTTTTTTTTCTACTACATCATACAAACAGTCTTCTTGGCCTCCATCAAAAAAGGAAGGAAAGGAACTTACGACCTTGTGCTTTTGAAAAGGTGAAAGCAATGCTAACATATTGCATTTTCCTCATTTTGGGAAATAAAGAAATTAAACAGCTCTTAGAGCTAGAGTGAACTGACCCTAGGCAGTGCACACTCCAAGCAATGCCAAGCAGTGTCTTAGTGCTTCATTGTGTCATCTTTATGGGTCCTGGACATGAAATCAGCATCTGAAATGGATGAATTTTAGTCATTGCTTTTTCCTCTTCTCTGTCCTGCTCTTTAATGGAGGTGTTAATAAGCTAAGAAGTAACAAGTAGGCAAAGCAGGAGTCATGGTCACCCATTCACAGATGGATTTATCCATTCCTTACCATCTAAATCAGAGATTCTTCATGAATTTTTAAATATATATGTATGTATATATTTACAACTGTATTTCTGTATAACTGATTTCCTTGATAATACTGTATATTTCATTTAATGTTTTTAAAAGCATCATTCTGATTCATAGGCTTCCTCAGCCTGCCAGATTGATTCTTGGAACAGAAAAAGTTAAGAACCCCTAGTTTAAGTTGATCGTATTTTCTCGTAATAATAAAACTGCTACTTGTGTCCTATCTTACTTATTTTAGGTCCAGCTTAATTTCTTTTGGACTGTGAAATATATATTTATTTGCAAGGTTGAAATGCTAATCTTATATACCAGATGCCTTAAACTTGGTATAACAGTCAATCAACAACCACTTAAGTGCCTCTCAGCACTGTGCTGAGCACTGGGGACACAGGAAAAGGCAAAAGCAGCCCCTGCTCTCAAGGAGCCATGTGGATGCAAGATGGCGGGAGGGGATAGGGGCAAAGGCCCCTTAGAGAGGAGGGGATTTGCACTGAGCCTTGAAGGAAGCCAGGTGTCTAAGGAGAGGAGGGAGAACCTTCTAGGCATGGGGGACAAACAGTGAGCAGGCAGAGTCAGGAGTTGGAATGTCCTCAGTAAGAACAGGAAGGCCAGAGTATGTAGAGGGGAGTAACACATCAGAACACTGGGAAGGTTGGAAGGGGCCTTAAAAAACCAAACAGAGGATTTTATATTTGATCCTGAAGGTAATCAGGAGCTGCTAAAGGCTATTGGGGGGGGGGGAAGTGGTTAGACTTGTATTTTGGGAAGATCATATTGACAAGCCAACTGGAAAATGGATCAGAGTGGGGAGAGACTGATAAGGTACCACTGGAGTTTATTAAGTAGGGAGGTATGGAAAGTATGACAGAGTGGGAGTATGCTAAGCATTGAGGATTCAGTTCAGGCACATTATCAGTGATCTAGTGAGGGAGACAGGCAATTAAACCATTGCCCTCCCTCATTGTCCATCCTTATGACAGTCAGTCACAACAGTCAGGAGCTAGTAAAGGATCACCTTGGAAAAGTTCAGATGAGGCAGGAATAGACTATTGAAATTGGGTCTGATCTGGGGACATGCTCTGGGGAAAGCCCCTGGGACAAAGACAGAGGCCAAGAGGCCTTATGCTTGCATCCAGGAATAATACAGGGATTTCTTGGAAGTCTCAAGAGCAAGAAGACCACAAGTAGGTGGGCTATGTCTGTGGCTGATACAAGGGTCCCTGGAAATTTCTCTAGAAACTTCAAATATAATTATCTTTTATTTGAGAAGGTGTATATTTCCATTTAAAATAATTTAGTTGATAATAGAAAATATAATCATTAAACCCTTTTTTCTTGAGCAAAATACACGTATGAATGCTCCTTTTATTGTTTTTCATAGCTATCTAAGCAAAGACATTCTGACTATTTTTGTTGACCAAAAGTTGACATGGCAAGGGGCCCTTGGTGAAAAGAAAAGGAGATTATGCATCCAAAGGATGATGGATTAAAGGGATGGGTGAAGGCAAGACAACCCAATGTCTCAGAGATTCACTTAAGGATAAGAAAGATAATACCTGTAAAATAGTCAAAAGATCTTATTGGTTGGAGAAGGAAATGGCAAACCACTCCAGTATCTTTGCTAAGAAAACCTGAAATGGAGTCACAAAGAGTCAGACATAACTTGAAACTACTGAACAACAAAAACCTATTGGTTGAAGACAGCAAAATTGTTTAGAGGGCATTAAAGGAGCTTAAAACAAAATTAAGTTAAAGATGAAGAAGAATTAAACATAAACAGAACTTTAGGGATGATAGTAGGAGACCTACAGTAGGCAAAAGTTGAGGTCCTATACCCAAGATCTAATTGCCTCCTTAGAGCCTTGTTTATATGAGGGAATTTAGGTTTAGCCTGGAACTCATGAAAGATTCTCACAAAAAGGGGGTAAATCTTTTTCTGTCCTTGGTTCTAACTCTGATAAGGGAGGATTTTTAAAATCCAGCATCCAGGAATGTCCTGCAGACAAAGCCCGTCATATTCTGTTGGAAACTAACGATCAGAAAACGCTAAAAAGACAACTCAAAACTGGCTGCTTGTTAGTAACTTTGTAAGACAGATGTGTAGAGTCTTCATTTGAAAGGCTTATGCATACTAGGCAATGTGATGGTTATTTTGCCCATTTCCTGTGGTTTATATTGTATTTCTGGGTCTTAGGGCAGTCCTGATATGAGACTGTGGGAACAACGCTCAGTCCGGATACTGGCTGCTGATAAACAAAGTTTGCTATGTACATCTATGACCTGACTAGATCCAGTTTTCCTTTGTTTTTTATTTTGGTAATAGTGTGTCACCCCATTGAGATGTTATGTTTATGGTTCCAATGTGTCTCCTTTCTCCTATGAATCATGGAAACTTTTTTTGAGGTTTTCTGTAGGAATTTAGCAATTGCATCACATATACTAAGCTGTTCTTTCAGACCAATGTAATCTCTCAGTTCATTCTGTACCTGCATTGACTTGGTTATAAGACAGATCTTCATAACCCTATTCTGGCTAGCTACAGACTCTTGGTGCAGATAAGGGAGTGGGGCTGGAAAAAAAGTATCGAGTTGGAATTCGTCATTTATTTGCCTGATAGTGTTGTGTTTGCTGTCTTTTCACTTAGAGTTATTTGGATCATCCTAGAGTTCCTGTGTTTCACAGATAAATACCAGACGTTATCCATTTCTGCCTTTAATGCTTTTGTTTAATTCTTGAGTAAACTAAAATCCTGACGGTTCATCATCAGCATTCATTATCCTTTCCGGGAGCCATGAAACCCCTTGGTTTCTCTAAGTCAACCAAGAACTGGGTGCTTGTAAGACTGAGAACTCCAAAGGTAATTATTAATAGAAGGACAGAAGGTTAAGTTGAATTTCTGGCAGATGCTTGAATTAAATAACATAATTTTACCATATTTTGAGTTACTTTAAACTGATTGCTTTCTCTGGGTCAAAAACAAAAGAACAAAATTTTCGTGATGTGTGAATGGGAGTCTTAGAGTATCTGCTTTCTGGAGATAATATTTAAAATTCCATTCTGAATCAGCCATTAAAATTCCGCCTTTTGATAGTAGTGGACAGAAGACACATTGTAAATGGGAGATGCTTCAGACTGTGAACTTGAATTCTGCACATCTCTTTAAAGAGGGAAGTCATCAACGTTAGCTCAGGACTAGCAACAGTCTCTAGGAAGCATCACTAAGAATCACTTCCATGTTTCTCTGATCCAAAAGATGACAAAGGGAAACATTAACCATCTCAGAGGAA